GCCGAACACTGCCTGCGTACAAATCCCACCGTAATGTGAGGCTTTCACAAGTCATACAGAGTGTGTCATTAGACCTTTGTAAGTGGGCGAATGCATCCATAGCAGAGTCCTACAAAACAAAACACGTCTTGAGAGGCATAGGTAACGATGCCTTTCATAACGTTACTTACTTTTATTATTTTTTCTTGAAAGCAAGCGTGTGGAGGAAATTCGCGTGATCATTTCTAATTGTTATTTTTCTGTTCCTGTCTATGGTCCTCGTAAGAGGCGTAAGTGCGTAGCCCACTTATGACATCATGCGTCGACAGGCAGACACAAGAGACCCAGAACAAAAGTGATTTATTGTTGTACCGTTTTGTCTTTTAAATCTAATGCCGGCCTCATTATTTTTAGACCAGCTACGCAATTCCGATACAGTGTGCACCTATTATGTACCACGGTGCCAAGATTCTGAAAAAGGGGACCTTAAGAAGGTGTTTGTACCAGAGCGAGCGTTTATGTTTTGTGGCCTAGACATACGTTCCCACACGCGTCTTGAACACTCTAAGGCACTCTGACAGGACATAAAATACATTGCATATTATCGTTTAGCAAAACTGTAGCAAATAGAAGTGAGGCTGAGAAGGAAATGGGTGAGGGTGATGGCGAGGAAAGAGAGGAGGGGAGATGGTGAATCCTAGCATAAAAATAATGAGAGAGAGTCATAAAAAAAAAGAACTACAGAGAAAAAAATATAACAAGAAAGTGGAAGCAAGTAGGAAATAGGAAGTGAGACAAAGGAAAAAAAGCTATGAACCATCTCCCCGAAGGAAACTCTGATGAGATGCGAAGCAGCAGCGGTGCGCACGGCGTTGACCCGGTTGAAAAGGGCGTTGATGCGCGTGTGGCATTTACTCGAGTAAACGACGTTTGCAACGCAAAGACACGGGATGCGGGACGCGTTGAAGAGCCTTGTGCTCGGCTTCCTTGGCTCGCGTATCGACACGGCCCAGGCCTGAAAAGACCTGGGCAGAAGGCTGCCCAGGTCTGAAAAGCAAAGGCTGCCCTGGCGCAACAAGGACAAAGCTGCCTTAATACTTTGTTCAATTTAATTTTTTTACAAATATAATATGCCCGGAACCTGTGTCGTTAACGTAGTGGTTAGTCATTCTATAAGCGCATTTCGTTCGCTAGGGGTATCTAACGGTACCGATAATAATTATGTGTATTCTAATAAAAAAGAATCACTTCGACATTCAACAATTGAACATTTTACGCGCGTAAGCGCTTACGGGAAAAAACTGAGTCTGTGGATGTTAAATAGTAACTTCGCTCTTACGTTTAGTTTTTAGAGTGTTCTTCGAAGAATGCAGATGCGGATTAGCATTCACAAAAATTGTCGAAATTGCACGAAGTTCGCGGAGTTTCTCTTCGTTAAAGTGTCCTTGGTATCGACTTAGTGGCGTTGTGCCCACAAGCGACATGTTGTCCACAAGTGCACACTTAGTCTACATGGCGAAACATGCTGTTGACTGGTGACAGTGACTGCATCGTTTAAAACTAGAAATATCTGCATTAATTCAAGTGGCACAACCTTCCAAGCACAAGAAAAAAACTGCGGCGCTTTGCAGCAGTCCTTCGAAACTCTCCACATCTTCGACTGCTAGACAGGTTCGACTTCCGACAAACTACCGCAAACCTAAGCGATCTCGCCGTCGGCAAAGCGATCAGCCAGAAGGGCGCTCTCGTCGGAACCGTTGTCGATTGAGTCGTCGGAAGTCGTTTGCCAAGGCTCCACGAATTCGTCCGAGGCCTCCCGAAGACGGCGATCTACGTTGTCCCGGCTGTCGTTGCTGCTCGTGGTTGAAGGTAGGGGCTCGTCGTCGGTAACAGGACCGGGTTCGCTCATGTCGAAGACGGCCATCGCCAGGACAGTCAGAGTGGCGACGACGCCCGCGAAGGCACACACGACGAAGAGCAGGCAGGTGCGCCGCTGCTCGTCCCGCCGTTGTTGCCGCTGTTCGCGGGCCTCTTTTTCGGACAGTGCCTTGCGGAACTGTTTCGGGTCCACCACCGGCTGCTGGTCCACGGGTGTCAGCGGCGTCAGCGGCGGTGTTACGGCGCTGGACGCTCTGCTGGGCGCTGCTCCTCTGTTCGCGGGGATCTCCTCAGCCGGTGAGTCAAGAGGTTGGCCACCGCCGTCGGAAGCGTTTCTCGCGTTCGTGTCGGCCTCGTTGCCGAGAAAAGGTAGATGCATTGTTCTTGTTCTTCTGTTCGCCTTCTCTTGTGGCTCGTACCCACTGTTGGGGGAATTGGCCAAGAATGAAGTGGTCTTACCAAATGGCACACAGTTATGAATAATGGAGGTCATAGAATACAAACGCTACACATTTTATTTGGAATGCTGATGCTCACTCAAATGTACAAAAAGTAATAATTGTTCATTTTGAATCGAACTGTTTTGCGTTTTTTCTTCTTTCAGCCAATGGCTCAGGCCTAATGCAAGATATTGACCAGGTATTTGTTGGATTTTTCGAGGTTCTTTGGGGTAGCACTGCTAGACAGTTAAAGATAAATATATATTGACTTGAACTGCAAAATATCAGCAATAAAATATTGAAGGCCGCCAGAATTTAGCAAGGTGTTCTTTTAGTCTCTGTAATAAAGCCCTTCAACAGCACAAAAAAAACATACCCGCGTTGCTGAAATTATCTTTATTTTCTATATCCGTAATTTACATTTGTCAATTTCAAATATTTATTTTTACAGCGAAAGCTGTATATATGGCTAGCAGAAATGAAAACCCGTCCGGCAGCGGTGTCACGAGCTGTCGTCTCCATTGCCTGTGTTATCAGTTTCGTCGTACGGAGCGTCGTACCAAAGCACGCGCACCCTTGGCTGCGCCGTGAGCGACGTCGTTCATCCCATCGCAGCCGTGGCCTTGAGCACGCACGCACGAGCCTTCTCCCGAAGCCTTCCACTTGAGTATGCCACGGACAACTTTGGAATATCGCCGACAGTGGAAACGCGAGAGAGCTCTCTATCGGCGGGCCAAAGGTGCAGTCCTGGCACAAGAATAATCCCGTGAGGCCGAGTGCCGGCATCAGCTGCGTATCGATGATCCGGCGGGCCTTCCAGGCCGCGCTAAATCGCGAACAGGAATGCAAGCGCCAGGTGGCGGGCGGATCCTGCAAACCATGCCGCCAAGTTGGCTTGCAAAAACGCGGCCTTGCGGTGTCAAAGGGATGACTGCGGGAGTGCGTTCGCCGGGGTGAACGCCTTTTTGCGCAACGCGTGTTTGGGTGGGGCGGTATTGCCGGCCTGCCGTGTTTTTCCACTCCCAGCCACTCAGGCGGTCTCTTCCCGCCCCCGCGACAGCAAGGTTCACAGCCACCACTCGACAAAGCCACTCTGTCAACTGGAATAACCAGCATCACACCGATGCCAATGCGCCTCTTCTTGTCCCCATCATCATCATCCTTCATCCCTCTTTCCTTCCCCCTTCCCTTATCCCTTGTGTGGAGTAGCAGGCTAGAGCGAACTAGCTCAGGCCGAGCTCTCTGCCTTCTAATAAATTCTCACTCACACACACACTATGCTACCGTACCAGTGCCAGTGTCATGAACTTGACAACCATCTACAATTTTCTGCACTTTGTCATCTCTTCCTCTTGCCTTCTTTACTCTCTTTCCTCCCCCCCCCCATTTTTCTTACTGATTGGGCATGTCGATGCCACAACATGTGTCTGCATCATAATTCATTAAATAAAGAGCTGCGCAGACCTCTGTGATTGTCAAGCCAACACCTTAGGACATCATATTGCGTTACCGTGCCCCCAATTTATTTTTGAATTGTCTTTTCCACAAATTTGCACTTTGGGTTGAATTTAAAACCCCTCTTCATTCACTTTTGATCGGCTTTTAACCTGGTATGCTTCGGCAGGAACAGCTTTCCCCATGCCTTTATTTTCTATTTTTTAAATATCCTAACAATGAGAATGAAGTTTACCGGGGCTAACGCGCCGCTTTCGGCGACAGTTCCTCCAGCAGCACATTGGTTTTGCGGTAAGTATTTCCATACTTACCGCAATGTAAACTAGCGTCTGAACCCGAATAGCGGTGAACCACACACACACACGCATCGAGAGCGTTTGTGCAGTTTGTCACTTGCGCATCTGCTATGCTGTTCCGTTCTTGTTTCCAAGTTAATGGTACCGCGGCAACTAGCCCACTTTCAGACAATGGTGCGGTCGGACCAATCGAACGGTGAGCTGCTACTAATGAAGACGGGGTGCAACATCGTGGAACTATGTTTCGAGTTGTGTTCGTACAAATTTGATTCAACCTGTTAATGACATATGCCGGTCGAAGTAATGGAATGACCATGGAATGACCTTTTCACTATCTTACACCTAACCTTGCAATTTAGATTTCTCGGTGCGTGCGCTTTCTTGTCGTACTTTTCTTCATCCCTATAAAAAAATGAAATTTTACACCATGATTGTCTTATATTTATTTTATGCTTCTTGCCAGTTATCACGTCTAAAATATTCTATATTTAATGCGTACTACTTGTTAGTTATTAGCACATTCTCCACATATTCATAGATTTATTAGCGATTATGGTGTCTTTGCAGGAAAACTTGATCTGAATCGGTAGTCAATTAGACGTACTCTTGTTATTTTAATATGGCTTCTGCAACGAAGCAAGTAATGTGTTGAAGGTTTCCATGGGAACATAAAGTACTATAAGTCCTTTATTTCAAACAAAGTGCATTCTTAAGCTACACAACGAGCTTCACGGATAATCTCATTTTTGCGACGGACGCCTTGCTCCACAGCAGGCGATATTTCATTGCATCAAACTATTAGCCAGGCACTTCGAAGAAAACATATTTTATAAAGGTGAGCCAAAAAAAGGCAGTATAAATGGCACGCATAAAGCAGATGATCTGCGTTGAGTGCAAGAAGTGCTTCCGGCCTCTTGGCACACCAATGAAGACGTCGTCGTCGCGGACGCCTTCAGGTCAGCAGGTCCTTGAGCCTCTTCAAGAGGACGTGCTTCTCGCCACAGTGGCCGTCTCGGTCGTCGCCGTCGACGTCGAAGACGGCAAGACCACGAATCGCGCCCTTAAGGCCGATCTTTGAGAAGGAGAGAGAAAAAGAAGAACAAAAGCTTGAGGATGCTCGAGCTTCACCTTCAGTAGTAGAACGTGATATCGTGATCAGGTCCCGCACGCATCGTCTTTTGAATCGCTTGCCAAGCTTCGCGTCTCATTTGACCACTTAACCGAGTGAAATGAACATCTGTGCGCAAAACATTGGCCTTTTGAATCTCTCGTAGAATCACACTTAAGTAAGCTTGGTAATGGGCCAGTCGGTTAAACGTGATCGTTTCTTTTTGGGGCAACCTTTACAAAAAGGAACTGAAATGCGCCTTTTGTTTGTACGCCTTTCGTCGCTGTCGTCTGTCATTTATTGCAAAGTTCGTGCAAGAAACGTTCATCTCTTAGAATGCACGCCTATTGCAAGTGCGATTGCAAAGCGCCCTCTACGCCATAACACGTCATACTGCTGTCCAGCGAAGTACCAATAACACGTTCACAAGGCGATACACGCAGCTGTCCACGTTGCCGATGCTTTTGCTGGCGATGATATTACTAATCGTATGCCTAAATGCATTCTAATGAGCGGTTCATCAAACCTCGCACTCGTTGAGGAGTTCATATAAGGTGTGACACCTAGCGGAGTTCTACTTTTCAGCCACCTTTCTGCCACACGAATATTGCATGTGTTTACAGGACTCTGAGCACTAAATGACACCTTTAACGTTTTTTTTTCTCTTTTTTTAGGGGCTAAGTTACTTAGGGCATGGGTCTGTCACTCCTCCGTATTTATGGAGTAGTATGTAGCCACCGGTGGCACATACCCACTCTAGAGCGGGCATGTGCCACAGGGGATGCGAGATGGGAGATGGCGGTACTTGGAGTGTTCACTACACGGACGCATGGATGGACAGACAGACTAAAGATTGACAGACGAATGGATGGAAGCGTGGATGTACGGACGGATGGGCGCACGAAAGGACGGAAAGACGGACTCACGAACGAACGCATGAACAGACGGGCGGACGCATCGATGGACGCACGGATGGTCGCGCGGACGGACGGAAGCAAGAATGAACGGACGGACGGAAGCACAAGCAGGCTTATGGACGCTTCGCTCCGCTCATCGTCATTCACTCCATGCGTATGCTGTATTTTGCGGCGAAATATTTGACTACCACGCAGATCTTCGCTTGTGGCCTAGTTTTTTATTTCTTGGTTTCATTCTATCTTGACTTTTGACTCCTGGACAACGTCGATTTCCGTCTCACAACCAACAACGTGTAGACCGACGACACATGTTACGTCACGGGCCCCTTGATGCTATGGCGCTAGAAATTGTACATATTGACCCTAGACGTTGTTCTGCACGTTTGCCCAGTCCCAAGAACAAGCGGATGTCTTCTTGGTACTGGTGGAATATTAAGCTAGATTTGCCCCTACGCCTATAAGAGTATAATCACATGGAGTTTTGGCGACGCTCGCTAACAGTGCAATTGATGATACGCCGCCTACAACAGCCTTCTAAATACAGGAGTTTACATGCATGTGCAAGAAAAATTGATTCGTGGCGTTTAACGTCCCAAAACTACCATATCATTATGAGAGACGTCGTAGTGGAGTGCTCCGAAAATTCCGCCCACCTAGGGTTCTTTAACGTGCACCCAAATCTGAGCACACGGGCCTACGGCATTTTCGCCTCCATCGAAAATGCAGCCGCCACCGCCGGGATTCGATCCCGTGACCTGCGCGCCAGCAGCCGAGTACCTTAGTCACCAGACCACCGCGGCGGGGCGCCAGAGAACATTCAGATCTTGCCTAGCGTAATGTAACTTTTTCAAGTTGCTTCAACACTATGGTTCCAATAGTTGTTCCCGACCAACTATGCCAACAATTCGCACTCCGCTACTTAAGCTATCTACACGCGAGAGTCCAAGGCTGACCGGTGATACGTTCTTGAGTCAATGCTTAAAAAATCTTCGAGCAGGGCATGGCGCCGTAGAGAACGTTTCGACAAGCTATCTCGTCCTGCTGTGCTTGTACATCTTCTCATGAACTTCTGCATCGTTTGAGTTACGCGAACAATGTGCACCTTGAGATCTGACAATGTACCGGAATTTCAAGCAGTCCAGAATGAAACCGCGGGACGACATATTGCAAAGGCCCGCAAATGGTACAACGCGCACGTGTATGACCAGGGTACGGTTACAACTCACAATCCAGTTTCCGGAGAAAGGCGCGATGGAGGACACCCACTGGGGTCCCCGGGTCGCCTCGGTGCAGTCGGTCTCCAGGTTGGCGCGTGCGTTCCACCCGCCCGACATCATCAGCTGGCACACCTGCGACGGGTACGCATTGTAACCGTTTCAGCGAGGGTCTCATCTCCACAGTAAAAGAAACTGATCTTGATAATATCAATAATTTTTATTTATAACCACATAATGCTTGATTTCCCAACTTCCTTGCCACTATATCAAAGTTCCCACCTGGCGAGACAGAACGGCTGCCTTTTCAATGCACCCGGTGAGCGCGTTTTCGATGTCACCATCGAAATTGGATAACGTACAATCTGCCTCGATTTCCGTATAATGCATACAAAATAACTTTCTGTAAACAACTGTTAATAGATTAATATTGAGAAATAGTTAATTTTAAGGTGAAAGCCTTATATGTCTGATCCAGTGCGACAAGTGACCGTCGGCGCCAGCGTTGATGGGAATGAAGCAACAAATCATGAACCTGAAGTCACTGATCACCAGAATTTTTTTACATCACTTTGATGTCACGCTGACGTCAAATGACATGACAGTACATCATGACGTTATCACAGGACATCATCTCTTGTTCATTGGTGAGCACATGCCGGAGGCACTGTCGTTGCCGGCTGAGGGGAGGAGGAAGGTGGTTTGAAGGATTGAACCCTCCCTGCCGAAATTGTTCTATTTTGCATCAGTATACAAGGTTTGTAAGGAAAGTAACCGGCCACTGGCCGAAGAAAAAAAAGGCATAACTGCAGTGCTGGAAACTTAATCACCCTCAAAGTGGTCTCTTTCGGACTCCGCGCGTTTCTCCCAGTGGTGCCGTCACTGCTAAAAACATTCCCAGAAGGCCTCTTTCGGAATGTAGTTCAGCTCAGCTATCGCTGCAGCCATAATGTCCTCTCTTGCCTGAGATCGCGCTCTTTTCAGTGGCCTCTTGTTATTGCGAAACAGCCATATAAGCCGCCGGGGCCCATAATCAGGAGAGTAAGGAACCTGTCTAATAAGAGAAGCCTCGTTTTTATTTCGCCTAAAGAAAGTCTGAATCAAGTGCAAGAAATGTGCAGGCGCACAGCGGTGACGGATGTGTCCAAGTCCTGTTGACCACCACTCTGGTCTCTGGCGTCGAACAGCGTCGCGTAAGTGACGTAGGACAGCGCTGTACTACTTTGCGGTGAATGTCTGACCCTGTGGTGCGTACTTGTCCACACAGCGAGAGTCGAGAGCAGTCAGCATAACTTTGATATGACTGCGCGCCTGGCGGGTTTTTGATTTTGATGACGTGGAATACTTCCACTGTGACGGGTGGCATTTGGTTTCCGGTTTGCATCTCTACATGCAAGACGCGTCATCAGCAATTATATTGTTCATGAAGTTGGGGTCACGATTCATGAAATACAGTGCGTCCTAGTTGTGAGACTTCAAGCCCGAAGTTGCTTCATGGCCTAATCCGCGGTCATAATGCAATGCGCAGAAAAGTGCTGATGGCCATCTCTTCCGCAATTTCTCGGATAGTCACACGGTGGTTCCGCATCGCCTCAGCGTTCAATTTGGCAATGACTTGGTCATTTCGGCATCATGCATGTGGATGGCCAACCGCAGCGTGTCTCGCACTCCGCCGATGTGCGACTATCTTTAGACCGATTGTACCACTCCATAATCTGTGTGTTGCCCGTAGCATAATCGAATCGAAAGACGTCTGAATCTTTCAGATGATTTCCACTTGGCTGTCACCCAGTTTCCGTCAAAATTTGATGCGGTTGCGCCGCTCCAGTCACTCCTTCATTCTCTTTGCAGTGATTAGAAAAAATGGCAGCATATCCACGGAGTGAATGATGGGGAGTGGGGCGAAGCATTCGTCCGTCCATTCATTCTTGCTTCCGTCCGTTCCTGCGTACGTCTGTGCAATCGTCCATGCGTCCATCCAACGTCCGTGCGTGCGTCCGTCCCTGCGTTCGTCCATGCATCCGCGCCTGCGTCCGTTCATGCGTCCATCCATGCATCTGTCAGTGTGTCCGTTCGTCCATCTATTCAGCACTCTACGTACCACCATCTCGCACCTTTTCATCATATATTCTCCATATTGTCACGATGAGTCACAAGTACTGGGGGATATATTGAACGACCGGGTAGCTAGCTCTAGGACGATGCGTCAGTCGTGGCTGGCTCTCGAGCCGAGAAGAGACACGCAAATCTTCTTTATTTCCTCCAGATTGTAGAGCCGCTCTTGCAGTCGACCCAATACGTGTGGGTGGCATTATCCCCCCTTTCGAAAAGAAAAATAAAAGTCCCAAAAGGGGGAAAAAAGTACATAGCACCACCACGATGTTATGACATAGGCACGTGGAAAAAAAGAAATCGGAAATTGGGATAAAGTAAAATTAGAAATGAACGAGCGTGCCAATATAGGAAAAATCAGTGAACGAAGAAGCAAGTTCACAAAAATAAATAAATAACACAAAGAACGCTGTACGGCAAGAAAAAGTTATGAACAACGCGCAATAAATGGTTTCATGCGCAACACATGAACGACATCCGACCTCGGTCGTGTCCTACTCCGTGCCTGCGATGTTGAGTCCGGAACCACTTCGTAGTTCACGTCACTGACGTGACGTAACACTTTATAAGGGCCAAAGTACCGGCACAGTAACTTTTCACTAAGGCCACGGCGGCGGACGGGCGTCCACACCCAAACTTGGTCTCCGGGGTTGTAAAATACTTCACTGTGGCGGATGTTATAGCGCCGTGCGTCTGCCTGCTGTTGCTGGCCGATGTGTAGTCGTGCGAGCTGCCGGGCTTCCTCAGCACGCTCTGCAAATTCATCGGCGTCAGTTGCCAACTCGTCTTCGTCTTGACACGGTAGCATAGAGTCCACCATGGTCTGCACTTCTCGGCCGTAGAGAAGACGAAATGGCGTGAATCGCGTGGTCTCTTGCACGGCGGTATTATACGCGAAGGTCACGTAAGGTAAGATCCGGTCCCATGTTTTGTGCTGTACGTCGATGTACATTGAGGTCATGTCCGCGATGGTCTTATTCAGTCGCTCGGTAAGCCCGTTGGTTTGCGGGTGGTACGCATTTGTCTTTCGGTGTCTGGTGTTGCTCACTTTGAAAACCTCGTCCATAAGCTGCGCCGTGAATGCCGTCCCTCTGTCCGTTATTATACTGGAAGGAGCACCGTGTCGTAACACGATGTGGCGCATGAAGAATTGTGCTATCTCAGAAGCCGTGGCTCGTGGGATCGCCTGCGTCTCAGCGTAGCGTGTCAGATAGTCGGTCGCGACGATCACCCATTTGTTGCTGTCCGCAGATAGAGGGAATGGCCCGAGAATGTCCATGCCGACTTGGTCGAACGGCGTGCAGGGTGCTTCAATGGGCTGAAGCAAACCAGCTGGCTTAACAGATGGTTGCTTACGACGCTGACATTCCCGACAGCTCTTGACGTACTTCTTGACGCTTGCCGAAAGTCCTGGCCAATAGTACCTCTCGCTCACTCTGGCAAGTGTCCATGAGTAGCCCAGATGACCGGATGTGGGTTCGTCATGGCAAGCGAAGAGGACGTCGTCTCGCATGTCTCGAGGAACACCAGGAGGTAGGTACGGTTGTTCGAACGAGCGTTCTTCTTGTACAGCACACCCTCTCGAAGGCAGAACGACGGCAACGAGCGGGATAAATGACGTGGCATGGTTGTGCCCTGGCCCTCTAAATGATCGATGATCGGACGAATCTCTGCGTCATTCCGCTGCAGTTTACTCAAGTCTGATGAGCTAATGGCGCCCAGGAAGCCTTCGTCTTCCCCTGCTTCCTGACTGACGACATGAAGGGGTGCGCGTGACAGTGTGTCAGTGTCTTCATGCTTACGGCCGGACTTATGGACGATGGTGACGTCAAATTCCTGCAGCCGCAAGCTCCACCGTGCTAGCCATCCTAAAAGGTCGCGCAGGCTTGCCAACCAGCAGAGGGCATGGTGGTCCGTCACTACCTTGAAGGGACGACCATAAAGGTACGGGCGAAACTTGGTGATTGCCCACACGACTGCGAGGCACTCTTTCTCCGTAGTGGAATAATTCGCCTCGGCACGTGATAGAGAGCGGCTGGCGTAGGCTATCACCCTTTCGATGTCGTCTTGACGCTGAACGAGCACTGCACCAAGCCCAACGTTACTAGCGTCAGTATGGACCTCCGTGTCAGCATCATCGTCGAAATGAGCGAGAACGGGTGCTGATTGCATGCGCTGTCGCAGTTCATCAAAAGCCGCTTGTTGCTCGTTTTCCCAGACAAACGGCGTGTCGTCCCTTGTGAGACGAGTCAGAGGCTCTGCTATCTGTGAAAAGCCATGAATGAACCGGCGATAGTAGGCGCACAAACCAAGGAAGCGCTGGACGGCTTTCTTATCGACAGGAGCTGGTAATTCGGCAACAGCGGCAAGTTTGTCTGGATCGGGCCGGACTCCTTCAGCGCTAACTACATATCCAAGAAATTTCAGTTCTTCATAGCCGAAGTGGCACTTCTGTGGCTTTAGAGTGAGGTCCACCGATCGGATAGCCTCCAGCACGCTGCGCAGGCGCTGTAGGTGCTGCTCGAACGTGGCAGAGAAGACCACCACATCATCAAGGTAGACAAGACAAGTCTGCCACTTGAGCCCTGTGAGGACAGTGTCCATCATTCGCTGGAAAGTTGCCGGCACTGAACACAAGCCGAAAGGGAGTACTCGAAATTGGTATAGGCCGTCTGGAGTCACGAAGGCTGTCTTTTCGCGGTCTCGCTGATCTACCTCGATTTGCCAGTACCCGCTTTTGAGATCGAGAGAAGTGAAATAATGGGCACGACGAAGTCTATCCAGCGAATCGTCGATACGCGGTAGCGGGTACACATCCTTTTCGGTCACGTTGTTGAGCTTTCGGTAATCGACGCAGAATGGAGATGACCACGGGCTGTTGGATGGTTCGATAACGCCATCGTCAAGCATCTCGCGAACTTGCGTACGTATCGCTTCACGTTCTTTAGCCGACACGCGGTAGGGGTGCTGGTGTATTGGGCGTGCGTCCTCGTACGTGATGATCCTGTGCTGAGTGATGGACG